CATTGTTTAGTTAATTACTTAATTAGTTAGTTAAACATGTTGTACCCAAGTGTTAAAAGTCAAGAAAAGATTCACTGTATTTGCACCGTATGTATGTATGTTAGCGATCAGTTAGAAATGGAGAAGAAAGTGAACTTTTAAATCACTTGAATTAATTTCCTGCAGGACGTGTTCTGTTTCTAGCTTAAATTAACTCTGCGCCATTCCTAAAATTACTTTTACTGAAACATCAGCTTGTTCCGCATGATTATTTTGACACAGCCAACCTTACATAATCTATCATGTAGTCGTCTTCTAACAAATGGGACTAACAAAGGTTATCTTATCTGCTAATCTTATGTTTACATCAGGAAGAAAAATCTGAGTTTACAGCACCATATATGTCTTGAAAAACGTTCAAAAAGAACTTGGAGGCATTTCAAATTTTTACAGTTTGCAGCACATGTAACTGTGATTTTCAAAGCTGGCAAAGTTCTTCTAGTGCAATTAATTTTAAGTGGTGTCTAAATTCTGGGTAGTCTCAAGGATAGGAGATAAACTATACTGTAAGTAATTTTAAGTATTGCATAATGTCTTGTTAATTTTGTGGAAAATCCCTCCATCTTACAGTTGTTGTTTCAACTTGTAAATGCGTTATAATTTCCGAGATGTGGGCTGTATAATGGAGCAGAGTAACATTACTGATTTCTTACAGGAAAGGAGACCCTCCTTTGTGAACAGTGATTGTAAAAAACAAACAAATTAAATTAGACTTGGCTCCATCATTATAAGGTCATAAGCCTGCAAATTTTGTTGGTATTAAGTTTTTCTTAAACTTTGGTTTAGTCCTCAATCTCATGCACATCAGTGTAGTGAGTATTAAATACAGATGTTAAAAAAATGATGTAAACAGTCAAATTATGCATATCATAATATGACCAACACCCTGGAACATACAACATATTTTCAGAGTAAGATAGGAAAATATTGTCTGTTTTTCTGCAAAATTACCATGAAATTAGAGAATACTTCAAATTACTTATGCACAACTTAAGTTTACTTACAGTATTATTATTTCCTTGTTCATGTAAAAACATAAACCCTTTATTCTGGTCTGCCTACGTTTAAGTATTTAAGTGCAATTACACTATAATTTTAAATGTAACACATTGAAATTCCATTTAATTACAGGAATTTCCCCCTTAGTTGTGAGCTGTATTATAAGGTGCTGTCTGTAAAACCTCCAGTTATCAACCTTTTTTATTAACACGGACTTCCTGCTTCAGTCAACACAGGTCCTGAGGAAAGGGTAGAAGACCAATGCTGAGATATGTTTTAAGTAGTCCAGAGTTTACTGTTACAGTTGTTGTTTCATTCCCAAAGTGTCAGCTGTTAAACTTTAACCTCGATCAGTTTGAGCACAAAGTTCTTAGACGGCATACAGGTGTGACACTCTTACAGAGAGCGCACAGAGATTTTAAAGTGGCTTTATTTCTTTTAATATTGGAAAAATTAAAGTGAAATCATTCTCTGTATTGAGTATTCTTTACTACAGTGCTGTAGTATGACATATTTGACAGAACATTAAACCAAGCACAACAAATCAAAGTACATATACATGAATTTTCTGCATTTATTTTAGCAATTTATTGGCTTCTTTAGTTTCTATTACTTAAGTACAGCTTTATCAAACTGCATCTGAAAATTATCTTACCACAGCTCAGAATCTATATCATAAGGATACCTCAATAAGACAGAGTGTGAACTTCCTGCTACTGAAGGTTTCTTCACTAAGTTTAAGGACAAAACTTAATCTGAACACAGAATGTAAACAAACAAAGATGCTGGTATTCTGCTTAACTCTTACTCTGCTCTCTCTCCTTCTTCTTCTCCACTTTTGTTTTTTCACTCACAGCTCACAACCTCGTGTTTCTTCTGATTTGAAGGCACCATGAACAACACAGCAAACCTGACCTCTCATCAAGATTTGTGGCGCAATGTGACGGTTGCAAACACCACCTCATTTTACCGTCCTGCTGTGGACCCAGTGATTGGCAATGTCATTACAGTAATGTTTACAATCATAATCATCATCACCATGGTTTCACTTGGATGCACCATGGAGGTGTCTAAGATCAAGGTGACCAAGATCAGCAGTGAAAGCGAATGTATATGTGGTTTGTGTATATGCAAAAAAGCATTGTGACAAAGCTTGAAAAAATTACACGTAAGCAGGATTTTCGAGGATGTCCTTATGCCTGACAACACATTCCAGTTCCTGCAAGGAATTGCTGAGCATGTTGAAATATAATGGACAAAATACGCAATGAAAATCACCATTTTTTCTAAGTAAATATATTGGTTGGGAAATTCTCACCAGATGTTGGTAGCAAACCATTTGATCCATTCATGAGAAATGACACAGGGAAAAAAGTAACCAACTGAAATCAGTAAAGAAAAAGCAATCCTGCCGCTTAATGCAAATTTATTTCAGCTGGTTTAGTCCCAACTCATAGCCTATAAAAAGGCGTCTCATTACCACACAAGAAACATCTGATGAAGGGTAAAACCAACAAGATTTCTCAAGACCTTCGCAGCCTTATTGTTGCAAAACATAGTGATGGCATTAGTTACAGATAAATGTCTAAACTAGTGAAGGTTCCAGTGTAGCACTGTTGGGGCCATAATCTGGAAGTGGAAAGAACATAATTTCACCATAAACCGCACATGACCAGGTGCTACCAGACAGACGAGTGAGAAGAAACATCAGAGGAGGCACAAGTGTGTCAAAGAAAACAAGTAAAAACACTCAACTGCCATGGTTTGTATGCACACCATACATACCTCAGCACGCAAGACTCCATTACTGAAGAGAAAGCATGTTAAAGCATGTTTAAAGTTTGCTAAACAGCATTTAGACATGCATGTGAAATATTGGGGGAATGTAGTCTGGTCAGGTGAGACCAAAACCATGTTTGAAGGTCAAAAGGCACTGCACATTACCCCAAAATCAGCATACCGACAGTGAAGTTTGAAGGTGGGAACATCATAGAGTGGGACTGTTTTTCAGCATACGATACTAGCAACCTTCATATAATTGAAGATGAATGGAAAAATGTACCGAGACATTCTTGATAACAATCTGCTGCCATCTACCAGGATGATGAACGATGAAGGGTGGATGTTTCAGCAAGACAGTGATCCTAAACACAGATCAAAGGAAACTGAGTTTCTTTCTCTGAAACTAGACTGGCCCAACAAGTCACCTGGTTTGAATCCAACTGAAAATCTGTGGTTAGAGCTGAAGCTCAGAGTTCATAGAAGGGGCCCACTGAACCTTCAGGATTTGAAGACCATTTATGTGGAAGAATGGCCAAAATCACACCTGACCAATCCACACGACTAGTTTCTCCATACAGAATGCATGTAGAAGCTGTCATCACCAACAAAGACTTCTGTACGAAATATGCATTTCAGTAAGCGCGTTTGATACTTTTTCCCTGTGTCATTTCTCATTACTATACATAACTTAATTAATGGACATCTATGGTTTGATTTCTTTGCATGTGTGGATTGGATGGGTTGTTAGCATCTGATGTACTGAATTTCATGTCAGTAGCACCTTTAGAAATATATTTACTTAGAAATGCTTATTTTACCTGTTGTAGATAATTTCTCCAGTGATTTCCAGGTGGGCATGCCTAGAAAACCTCCAAAGGGAGGCATACTTATCACAAATCCAGTATCTCTAAATACTAGACCATTACCTAAGAGCAGTCAGCAAAGTATTTACAACTTCTGGAACAGTTCTTGATTTATACACTCTGCTTGGGTCTTCCATTAATTAGTGCATCGTGGCACTCCTGAGGTGCTATGATGATTTGATAATGGACCTTAGCTCACCTGTAATTTTGCTTTGTTTTTTTCCCCTCTTCCTCTTGACGACACCCCATAGATTCTATGTAGGATTCACCCAAGACAGTTGGATGACCAGCCAAGCAAAGTAGCCTAATAAAATGGTCATCATAAAAATTATCAGTTTTATTTCTGTGTGCAGGTAATAAGTCCTGTTAGAAAAAGAACTCTACATCTCCATAAAGATTGTCAACAGATGGAAGCTCAAAGTCCTCTAAAGTCTCCTGGTAGTCAGCTGAATTTGGATTTTCAATTCAATTTTATTTTATAGTGCCAAATCACAACAACTGTTGCCTCAGGACACTTTATATTGTAAAGTAAAGACCATAAAGTTATACCGTTTACAATTGATAAAGTCGATTTGATTCTGTTTTTGTTCAGACAAACCCTGTATCAAGTATACCCTTATACTCGATACAGGGGTCCACTCTACCCTACCCAGGACAGGGTTACTGGGGTCGTACTCTGGAGGCAATCCTCTCACAGCTCCGAAGTTATTCCTTTAATTGGTAATGTGCTGAATACCATCCACACCTGTTTGCCTTTGTTGCTGTCTAGGTGTTCTTCGGTCTTTCTCTTGTAGTCTAACTTGGCCTCACGGATACTTCTCTCTTCAGGTTGGCACATTCTGTGCTAAGCATAAAAGTGAAGCTGTCAATTTACTAGTTAATCTTTGTTTAACCCTCACCCATGGTCACAAGCTATGGGTAATGACTCAAAAAGAATGAGGTGAAGGATACAAATGGGTGACTGAGTTTTCCTTTAGCAACAGGGTAAGGCGCTCAGCCAATCAAAAGGGACTTGGAGTAGCAGCGCTGCTCCCACACATCGAAAGGAGCTAGTTGTGATGTTTTGGGTATCTGACAAGGATGCCTCATGGATGCTTTCTAGGTGAGGTATTTTGGGCATGTTCGTTTTGGGATGAGGGTCTGTGGCAGACCCAGGACTCGGTGGAGAGATTATATCTCTCAGCTGCCTTTGTAACGGCTCAGTGTCCCCCAAATGAGCTGGAGGAGGTGGCCAGGTTGAGGCTAGACTATGCTTCTTTGCTCCGACTGCTGCCCCATGACCTGAACCTGGATAAGCAGCAGAAAATAAGTGGGTGGATGGATGGAACAAAGAATTCATGATTTGAGTAATTTACTCAAACTGGAATAAAATATAGAAATATTTTGAGATACTGGATTTCTGAACATTACCTATTGTAATAAATACAGAATATATGAAAGTTTACCTTTTTCAATTAAAATGCACTTTTTTATAGTAAGCCTAGTTTTTTTTTTGTTTTGTTTTTTTAAATTCATTTGGCCTTTTTCTGCTTTATTGGTTAGACTCAGTGAAGAAAGGACAGGAAAGTGGGGGCAGAGAGAGAAGGGGAAGACATGCCGCCGTGTTCATGTTAATATAAAACACAGTGGCATGATACATGTTTGGTAAATTTATGATCAATTTTGCTAACTTCTTCTGTTTACAGAATTACATCATGAAACCTAAGGGGTTGGCTATTGCAGCTATGGCCCAGTATGGGATCATGCCTCTTACAGCCTTTTGCTTAGTTAAGGTTGGTATTTATGTAAAGTTAAATAAGATTACTAACATGCAGTATAAATAATACACATTTGTCTTTACAAAGTTACAAAGTTACAAATACAGACAGTGATTTATGATTTGTGTTCCCCACAAAAATCTTTTTACAGGGATTCATAATAAAAAATGTAAAAATTACACTGAGTTAACCAAAAAGAAGAACTAAAAACAGATTTTTTTATGTGAGGAAAATGAGTGGAACAGACTCAGGTGCAGACCGGATGAATTTAGAATAAAAGTCACAAGTTTATTAACAAGATTTCGAGGGATCCAGGGATGGAAGGGAAACGGGTCCAAAAAACACAGGCCGCAAGTCCACCCCTGACTCTCGAGTTTCACAATCCTCTTCAGCACTCACGCTCACATTCACTCCACACCTCACTGCCAGACTCAGGGGAACAGATCAGGAAACAGGGATGGGTCCAGGGATTTATATACAAGTAAACGTAGTTAGAACAGACTAGAACTTCACATGGAAAACAGAGGTTAACGGAGCTGTACTGACAAGTGTTACTCAACTCAGCTCAGGCAAACTGGCAATCAGGCAGATTCATGGCAGGTGGGCACGTGAGAGGAGACGGTATGGTTTCCAGGAGGTCCAGAGGGAGGAAAATCCAAGCGAGCCATGACAGGCAGGAAGGCAGGGCAAGGAGCGTGGTGAGTGTGAACCCCATGGTTTGTAGACTGACGTAGTAGAACCGAACAGGACAAGCGCTGAAGAGTCACACGGCAGGAGGTGAATCTGATAGAACTGAGAACAGTAAGGCAACGTTAAACCTGGGACAGACGAGCATGAACTTGATCACAAGGAGGCAGAGTTACCACAACAGTAGCTGGACAAACTGGTGGAGAGAGTGCTGGTTTAAGAACCCTACTGCTGATTGCTGTTGAAACGAGAAGCAGGTGAGGTGCTGGAAACTCCACCCCAGAGGACGGAAATCTGGAACTGCTCTAACAAACAGGAACACCTCCTAGACACTCCCAAGGCACATGACAAAAGTTGCCCAGTATAATTGAATTTGTGTTGATGTACCAGTATATAATTGACACCAGACATTGTGTTTTAGACTATTAGACATTGTCACTGGTATTTGCAGCATCCTGCAAGAGGTTATTGGGATTTTGTGTTACAGGGGTTCCAGTTGAGTGATATAACAGGTGTGGTTGTTCTGGTATGTGGCTGCTGTCCTGGAGGAATTTTCTCCAACTCCATGGCTCTGGCTATACAGGGGGACATGAACCTCAGGTACACATGGGAAGTTATGTAGTTGTAATACATTTATAATGACCAAAAAGAAGCTAAAAATGTCATTTGAAGTGATTAATGTTCAGGCAGAAAACTTCACAACAGTTATACCACTCGATTGTGGTATAAAACTTTCTCACACTGTGTCTGCCTGTGCAGTTTTCAAATATAACACCAAGACAAGCACAATTCAGACAGTTCAGTTAGATTTTGGCATATCTCTATCTGATGTCCAGCAGGTCAGTGGAATATTCCAGGAAGCAGGAATATCTCTAGTAAATTGTTTGAACATCAGGTTGACAGGGACATTTAGCGTTGTGCAGTTATGAGAAGGTAAATGGGGTCAGTAAAATACGAGGAATATGGAAATCATAAAGTCCGTGAGAATCAGATGTCATTTTTAATTCAGAAAGGCTAGTTTCCATAGCTCAGAGTAAAGCAACATATTTATCTCACCCTTGTCTTCTCCAGCATCGTGATGACTTCCTGCTCTACAATGTTGGCTCTGGGTATGATGCCTCTCCTGCTCTACATCTACTGCCAGGGTTTCCCCAGCGTGCAGAACGCTGTCCCTTATGGTGAAATTATGTTATCGTTGGTCTTGATCCTTGTTCCGTGTAGCATCGGCATCGTCATCAAGACCTACAGGCCACAGTACTCAAAGAAGTTCACAAAGGTTTGTGCATACTGACAGGAGACTGAAGGTCAGACAATCAAACTGATTAACAGTGTTGATTAATCAGTTGTACAGGCAAATAAAGATTTCAATGACTCTTATTTTAGATATTTGTTTAACAAAAAAAACCCCAAACAAAATGGAAAACCTGTAGATTACATCATCCTACAAATTCTAGAATTTGCTGATGTTTTTTCTTAACTTAACACACAGAGAAACTGAATAACTTTGTCTTCAGACAAGTCTAAACATCTTTCTCTAAACTCAAATAATTCCTAATGGTACCTAATGGCAATCAGAGTGCTGTTGCCTAGCCTGTAGAGTTCTGTGCGTCACTTTGATATGCTTCCGCAGACCATCACTGACCCACCACCATACTAAACAATATTACAGGCAGCATACTTTTTGCCATGGCTTCTCCAGACCCTCCACAGTGTCAGGGACAGGGTCCACTAGAGGACGACTGGCCCTTAGGCCACCCTTATGAAAGAGACATTCACAGAATTTTTTAGGGCTCTGACAGTGCTCATCCTGTTCCTTTTTGCACAAAGGAGTTACCTGTCCTGTTGATGGGTTAAGAACCTTCTAAGGTCCTGTCCAGCTCTCCTTGACAGGGCCTATTAACTGGCTCCATACCACAGGCCTCCAAACCTGCAGTAGTTAAACCGTTACTTAAGAAGCCAACACTTGACCCAGCTGTCTTATCAAGTTATAGGTCAATGTCGAACCTTCCTTTTCTCTCAAAACTTCTTGAAAGAGTAGTTGTAAAACAGCTATTTACTTATCTGCAGAAAAAAAATGTTTATTTGAAGAGTTCAGCCAGGTTTCAGAGCTCATTACAGTACTGAAAAGCCATTAATGAAGGTAACAAATTACCTTCTTATGGCCTCTGACAGTGGACTCACTTTTGTGCTTGTCCTGCTGGACCTCAGTGCAGGGTTCTGTGCTACAACCAGTTGTGTTTACAGTATACAGACAATAACATTAAAGACATAGCATTCATTTTCACTGGACAGATGACACCCAACTTTATCTATCAATGAAGCCAGAAAACACACAGAAATTAGTTAAACTGCAGGAATGCCTTGAAGACATAGAGACCTGGATGACCTGTCATTTTCAGTTTCTAAATTCAGATAAAACTGAGTTTATTGTTCTGGTCACTAAAAATCTTAGAAATCAAGTCAAGTCAATTTGCTTTATTGTCATTCCAACCATGTGCAGTGGTACAGTAAAGAGTGAAATGAGACAACGTTTCTCCAAGACCATGGTGTTACATATGACATATAACAGACAATCAACACAGGACTACATAGAACCTGACTGTACCTGACAGAACAGAACGATACAGACACAACAGTGCAAAAGAAATGTGAAAAAGACTGAGTATTGTGCAGTCCAGTCACTGACTGTTCAGGAGTCTGACAGCTTGGGGGAAGTTACTGTTTCACAGTCTGACAGTGAGGGCATAAATGCTCCGGTACCTCTTGCCAGAAGGCAGCAAGATGAAGAGTGTATGGGAGGGGTGTGTGACGTCCTCCAAAATGCCGGTGGCTTTACAGGTGCAGTGAGTGCGATAAGTGTCCATGATGGCAGAAAGAGAGGCTTCAATGATCTTCTCAGCTGTTATAGTGTCTAACAAGATCAGCTTAATATCACCTCTATCACCTTAATAGAGCACTTCACTGTCAGACTGCAGGCTTATTTGTGGTTCCTAAGGAATTTAAAAGTAAAATGGGAGACAGAGCCTGCAGTTTTCAGGCCCCTCTTCTGTGGAACGAGCATCCAGTTTGGATTCAGGAGATAGACACTATCCCTACTTTTAAGATTAGACTTAAAACTTTCCTTTTTGCTAAAGCATATAGTTAGGGTTGGATCAGGTGACCCTGAATCCTCCCTTAGTTATGCTTCAATAGGTCTAAGCTGCTGAGGCTTCCCCTGATGCAATGAGTTTCTTCTTCGCTCACCTTTTAAACTCATTATGTGTTTATACACCAGTCTGCATTTAATAATTACTCTCTGGCTCTCTTCCACAGTGTGTCTTTGTCCTGTTTTCCTCCTCTCACACACAGCTGGACACAGCAGATGGCTGTCCCTCTCTGAGCCTGGTTTTGCCAGAGGTTTCTTCCTTTTAAAAGGGCATTTGTACTTCATCTGTCACCAAAGCGATTGGTCATAGGGGGTCATATCATTGTTGGGGTTTTCTCTGTATTATTGTAGGGTTTTACCTTACAATATAAAGTGTCTTGAGGCAACTGTTGTTGTGATTTGGAGCTATAAATAAGCTGAGTTAAGTTGAATTAAATTTAAATCAATCAGAAATGATGAGGAGGGCAAAATCTCAACGGCCTCCACCTGTGAAACTATTCTGGTTTTGAACATTGTCTTGTTTTTGCATCTCTGGCACACCTGTTGTTGATTTCATCAACATCCAAGCCACTAAAACTGATTAACAACCCCCTCTCTACTTAACTGACCAGATCAATATCCCAGAAGTGTAATTTAATTTATCCTATACTCAAATTCTTTTGAGCAACACAAAAGCAGAAGAGAAGTCAAACACTGATTTATGTCCTGTCTTGTTGTTCTTAGGTAGGCATGATTATAATGCTGATTATACTTATGGGGACCTTGATCTTAATCGCTTTTGGAAGCGGACATATCATCCTGACTATGATGTCTCCTTCACTCTTGGCCATCGCTGGTCTCATGCCTTTGATGGGCTACTGCTTTGGATATGTCTTCTCTTCAATCTTCAGACTCATCCACAGGTAGGTTATTTGTTTAATTCAATCATCAATGGATATATATATATATATATATATATATGTGTATATATATATACAGGCAGGTAGGTAGATATGACTTGTAAATAATCCTTCCTTGCCTTCAGGGAGCGGAGAACCGTTTCCATGGAAACAGGCTGTCAGAATGTCCCACTGTGCACCACCATATTGAAGGTAGCTTTCCCTGACGAAGTGGTGGGTCCTCTGTATCTATTCCCAACAGTCTACTTGGTGTTTCAGTTGTTGGAGGCGGCGATGATCATCATGCTGTTTAGGTGCTACCAAAGGTTCAAGAGAAAAGAGAAAGGTAAGAGTGACAGCAGGATTCAGAGGTTACATTTTAACACAGGCCTTTTATCACACAAGATTTAAAAAAAAAAAAAAAAAACAAGTATCTACAGATGTCTGACTGATCGTTATTTCACAAAAATTCAACTGTGACTTGATCAAGTGTGGGTTTGGATGTTGTGGATATCTGAAGTAGGCAATGCTAGAACAAAGTTTGGGTTAACTCACTGAACTACATCCAGGTTGCAGCATCTCAGATTGGAGTGTTTGCATTACTCCAGTTGCTATATGTCAAATATTTTAAATTAAACATTTTTAAAATTTTGCGTTTGAAGAAACAGCACTTTTTACACTACACAAAGTATAGAGCAAAAAATAATAATACAGATATATTCTCCCCAAAGTACTTTATTGTACCTTTATGGGCTTGTAAAAGGGGCGATGCCTTCTAAGGTACTCCTGTTGTACCCTTTCATGTTGTAGGTTATGCAGAACCACTATTGACAATATTATACTCTCATGTACTGGTACCCAAACTGACCTTTTATAAGGTGCCACATTAGATATAGTGTATTTTATTCTATATAATTTCATTATTAATAATGTATTTGCTTTAATTGTTAGTCATTTGAGTGGTCTCATTGATCACCGAAAGCATTATGTGCCTCATATCTGCCTCTTCAAGAACAAAAGCTCTACTATGTGGCAACAGTGCTAACCACTGCACCACTCTAACCTGAGACAAACACACAATAAATGCACACTTGAGCCTCAGTTACGGGTATGAGACAGTTAAATGCAAATTTATGGCATTCTGCATTTAAGCATTAGTAATTATTATTAACATCTGGCACTCTCAATAGTTTAAATTCAGTTCAATTTGATTTCATATTTTATTTATATAGAGCCAAATCATAACAGTAGATGCCTCAAGGCACTTAGTATATTATATATAATATAAATGTATTAAGGTTACATTCTAGGTTTTTACAATAATACAGAGAAATCCCCAACAATCAAACAACCCTCCTATGAGCAACACTTGGCCACAGTGGGAAGGAAAAACTCTAGTTTAACAGGAAGAAACCTTCAGCAGGCTTAGGGAGCGGCAGCTATCTGCCACGATTGGTTGGGTTGGAGTGGAGGAAAACCTAGTTTACCTAGTTATTCTAGATACAGGAACTTGAACACACACAGTACATTACTGAACACAACAGCCTGGTTGGAAGAAAACAAAAGAAGCAGCAGAGAAAATGAACAATTCCACCATCAGGTGTGGACGAGCAAAATTATGACCTGAGTCGTAACAAACTGCAAGCACCAATGAGCCCACAAAAAGGTTTCTGGCTAAGAGTCTCTGCTGCCTGTTCTTGCTTGAAATTTTACACACACAAAAATTGTCAAAACGGCACCAAAACAAATCAAAGAATAACTTTGTGATTGTGTTTTCTTTAGGCAGATGAATAACCAGACCTTAGGATTTCACATTTAACCACAGGTTGAGCAACTTTTGTGCCAAATCTTGGTTTGTGTTAATGCATATGCTTGTCTGACCCACAGAAACTTACCAGGCTGCTGCCACTGGAGAGGATCTGAAAGAGTCTGATGAGTGATGTCAATTACCGCTCATATATGTCTCTATTAGCGTGCACTGTTACACCAAAGGGGCTCCAGATGAAGTAACCAAAAATAGCTTCCTTACAGCTTAATGAACAAACAGAAAAATGTGCAACTGTATTTCTTGATTATAAAACAATATCGTTATCTGAAACCTGTAAATGTATTAGTAACTTCAGTTATAAAGCACTAATGAAGACAAAATCCAGTTTTAAATAAATTTTTGAAAAATCTGATGAGTCTATCTTTTTCCTACGTCATACAATTACAAGTTTCCACCGAAAATAAATTCATTATGTACACTTGTGTTTTTTCAAGCTCTTGTCCACTAAGTACCAATAAGTACCACTGAGGAAATGCCAGGAAACACGTCCACCATCTCATGGATTACTACATTACAGGCTGCAGTATGTGAGATGAGCAGAGCTCTGAGTTTGTGATATGCACTGCATGAGCTCCACAGAGCACTGTCCGGTTTTCATTCCTGTTCACCTTGACCACCTTAGACTTTCAGTAGAACTCAAGGTCGTGGTGCCCACAGAATGGTTAGATGCAAACATGATGGTGCTCGACTTCAGAAGGAAGAGCACAGCTACATAGACCATCACTGTCCTGGGATAGGATGATGCCCCGGTACTCCACTAGGTACTCGCAGGTACAGGAAGGCAGAGCCATCTCCTGCAATTGATTGGGGTGGAGGGGAGGAGGACAAAACAAAAGATCCAGCTGGTCATGGAAAATGACCGCTCCTCCCAGAGCCTGGTTCTACTAGAGGCTTCTTCCTGTTAAATGAGAGTTTTTTTTCTACCTACTTTCACTGAGTAGAGTAGGGTAGACATATAGACAAATTTTGTATTTGATGACAAGGAAAACTAAATGACATTTTAAATGACAATGGGAAACAGTGGCAACAAAAAAGTTCTGGCTAAGAGTCTCTGCTGCCTGTATTCGTATTCCATTTTCCACAAAAAAGGCAAAACAAATACAAAAACCTCCATCAAAGAGTAACTGTGCAATTGTGTTTTGTTTTTTGCTCAAGACCACTTTTAAAAAAATCCCAAGAAAGTCTCCATGGAAGCACAAATATAAAGAAACAAGGGGAGGCTCAAGACTTTTGCACTACGCTCTCAGTGCAAAGGGCTGCCTGTGTCTGTGCTGCTGGTTTTAAGGGTTTATGAGAAACCAAGCTTTGAATGCTCTAGTGAGATGCCACAGCAATCAAAAACAGCACATTTGTCACAGCTGAAGCCACGCAAAGTGGGCTGTCTCAGAACGGAAAACACGGAGACAAGGGGTGACGTAAAACACGAGACCTTTATTACAACAAGACTATGAATCATGAACTCTGAACGGAATTATCAACAATAATGAGAAACAAGGTCAGAAAAGGTCAGAGAACTATAACTTGGGCATTTTTCAAGATCTAAGGTCACAATGAGAAACTAAGGCTAGAATAGGTCGGAAACATCACCAGACATTAGTGCACTCAAAGTTCAAGGTTTGGTGGAGGGCATGGGCACCAGGAAATGCAACCGGGAGTCTCCGTACACTGCAAGAAAAAAAGAGGAGATTAAGGGACCATGACCCAGAGCCCCGTAGATGGAGAAACAGAGTGTAGATTACTTAATCTTACAGTTTTGCAGGTAGTGGACTGGCAAGGTGGGGGAAGGATGAGTTGTCCAGGTGAGCTGATTACAGAGCAGGTGATCCGTAGGGCTCTGTGATGGTGACAGGAGGGCAGGCAGGTAAGCTGAATGACTGACAGGATAGAGAAACTGAACAGTCACATTTAGACCAGCAGCTGGGTGAGAGTAAGTGTTGTCTAAGACGAAACCTGACAGCCGACTGGAGGTCTGTAGAAACAAACAAAGTCAACAGCTTTCTGCAGAAATCAGCTCTTTAACCAAAACTGTAGCGATTAACACTGACTGTGGCACACTGAGCACTTGGTGGAGAGTAATGGTGACCGCTGATCCTAAATGCTAACAGCATAATTGTGTGGAGAAGCATCAGAACGGCTTGAGTTGGCGCTATATAAATAAAATTGAACGGAACTGAACTGAACGCAATGCAGTGACTCTGCCCAAAAGTGGAGACAGCAAAAAAGAAGAAAACTCCAGCACTCACCCGGACCATGACAACATTATGACCACATGTCTGTAAGAATTTAGAGGAACAGATGTAACATTTAGTTCAGGTGTATGGTGCGTCTAGTACTTCTGGTTGTCCTAACATCTATCTAATCTGTGCAGTTATAACTCAGATCAAGATTTTTTCTTTTCTTCATTCAAGCAATATTAGTCCTTTAAAAGCAGCAGTGGTTCATTACACTTGAATGATTTTTTTCTCTCTCAATAGCACGGTGTTTTGAATGAATATTAGGCAATGTGAAAAAGTGTAATTCATCTGCATGTTGACATTTTCCTTAGAAATTCAGCAAATAGCTAAAGGATTTTTAAAGAAGGGCACAGGTTTTCACAATGCTGGGTTTTAATTTCAGTATTAGTTCATTATAGTTAAAAATAATAATTTTTAAAAAATCTATGTAAATCACTGTTTCTGTCATGGCAGTGGCAGCAGATGTGAGTTATAAGAGAAGGTCCCAAATGCAGGCACAAGCTTTGATGCGAGTGAGCTTTTATTTACAGTATGTGACATTCAAACAAAAACAGGAAATGAGTGGCGTGGAGCTAACAGAACCTTACCTGGGAGAACTAAAACCTAACATGAGCCTGAACTGAAAACAAGAAACCTGAATACCTGGAAGAGGAGACAGAGAGCAGGGGCATGACAGACAGACGAACCAACAACAAGCACAAAGAATAATAATAATAATAATGGATTGCATTTATATAGCGCTTTTCAAGGCACCCAAAGCGCTTTACAATTCCACTATTCATTCACTCTCACATTCACACACTGGTGGAGGCAAACCACAGTTGTAGCCACAGCTGCCCTGGGGCAGACTG